TTAAACCTCGTAAATATGGTTTGCAAAAAAATTTAAAAAAGGCATCGCATTTGTGGGTTTCCTATACACAGTCCTATTCAGCTTGCTTCTCTCTTTGTTAACTAAGAAATCTAGTAAAGGTAAATTACCATCCTTTTCTAGTTGCATGGAGAACTTGATATTCCCGCCGATTCCATTAATCAGCGCTAGGAATTCTCCTAGGCTTCTTTCGCCATGTTGCCATATTGCCATACAGTAAAGTAATCATGTACCTAACGAATAATTTAGGAATTATGAGTCCTTCTTGTATTAGGCGGCTTTTTAATTGAGCCTTGTAGTTATTTGCTAAATTGGGGGTACAAACATGATCCCATAGTTAAGCCTCGTGTTTGTTCGTATGGTTTTCCATTGAAGGTAAAATATATACAGCTCATCACTAAATTATTTGACATCATTATTGACTTCTTTCTTAAATTTATATTTCTCAATATTCGGGTTTCGGTCTAAGGCTAATTCTATAGCTTGAGTAGCTCCGCTTGCAGGAATGTTGGTGTAGATTGACTCTGCATCAAAACTAGCAAGCAAATTCCTACCTTCTATTTTCTCTTCATCGACTAACTGAACGAATTCATTTGAGCTTCTTGTTGAAAAATGCTATTCCTCGGAGATTTGTTTTATTTGCTGACATATCGTGATGTTTTATCCATTATGATATCCTCATTATTAATATTAACTCTGATGGGATTATTTCCTTATGTATCTTGAGCAGACTTTATGCATTAGGGGGCCTGGCATCTCGTTGAAGAAGTGTGTACATTTTCCACTTCTCTAATTCTAATTTTGTTACTAATATCAAATTTTTCTACAGGGGCTAAGCTTTCATTTTATGAGTAAACTTTAAATTTCCATTGAATTTTAAATAGCCTTTTTTTCCCAACAGGTTTTCGCATCCAGAGTGGTCTTTAGTTTCGACCTCACCTAGATCCTATCAGTTACCAGTCCCCTTATCACTTTAAACGAAATATGGTGAATACACTTCATATATATTTGACCTACTCGTAGTCTCGAAACCTACTTATAAATATACGTATGTGTGTTTATGTGATTATGGGCATTAAATAGGGCATGTAAGAATGCAATCAGCATTCATTTTTCACGTAATTAGAGAAGAGCGTAGCATCTGTCCCTGGGTCATCAGGGTCTAATGACGTTTTTATACATCACTCCGATTGCAAAATGTTGGAGACACGTCTTATTAAGTTAACGAGTTTTTTGTCAGTGCCCGTGGGTGGGCGAGAGAGAGTGTGATCCGAATTAAAACCATGACGAACGAAAGATTAGTTAAGTCATTTCATTTTTTAGACAGATTGACATCCTCTATACCTTTGAGTTCATCAATTAAGTGTAAGTAATGTTGCTGCTTCGACCTGTTGCTTTGGTTGTTGATTTGGACTGCGACCAAACAGAAGGCCACACTATCTTGGTCTTCATATTTATAAGCATAAGTAGTTAATAATTAACTTTTTTCCGTGTTCCTGACATTCACTGTATTGCCCGATTTATTGATTTCGGTGACCCCCCTAATTTACTGGTTAGCTTGAGATATATCTACTCAGCAAAACGACACGCTTGAGACACTTTAATTTTATCTACAATTTACGTCGCATGTTCCGCTACCTGTGATCTTCGAGCCCAGCCGCCTCTATAGGCATTTCTGTGTTCACCCACTCTTTGTCGAACGGCTTGACAGAGCTCCCCAACATAAAAGCGACCGCATGAAAACACTATTTTATCTCAGCCTGATCTGGATAATAAGTCAACTTTCTCTTTAGATGCGTTATAATTTACTTGAGAACCCTTTTTATTCCCCATTTATTTACTAGTTCTTGTTAGAGAGAGTACACCAAGACAAGGTCAGGACATGGACAATGGTTACTGTTTCTTCACTACTTATTATATATAACAATTCTAATGATTAATTTTTTTTATTAATCTGATGTCATTTTCCATTCGCCTCTTCAAGCAAAATAAAGATGCATTAGCATTATATTTTTAAAAATAAACAACCATATTCACCCTAGGTCACATGAATATGAGGACGGGCAGCTGAATTTTCTAACTGATGTGAGTAGGCCTTACGATGTCATTAACTTTCATTTTACCTTGCCACCCAAAAGAAATTCTTTTCCGGCGTGGATTGCAGTTCTGATCTCGCCTGGGTCTGATCTGCATCCCCAACGGGAATTAAACCCAGGTAGTGTGACGTTTCTTTCCGACATGTTACCACTACTCCACACTACTATGGGTCGAAGTCGGAGCTGCAGTGTACGCTGGATGAGAATACCATTTGGGAGGCAAGGCTAAGTGAAATTCAATAGTATTGTGGAGTCTACTCATATCATCGTGAGATAATTCATATATTTATTTCAGCCTTTCTAGTTCAGTATTTCAATAATCTCTATAAGCTAATCTTATACTCCAAATATTAATTGACTTTAAAATATCAACCTTCGTTTTGTAATTATGATTGGAGCCATCCAGGCTCTAGTACCCAGCCTAGAATCATTCCCAGATATTATTGAGCGTCGGAACACGAGCTAATTTAGCTATATATACATTTTTTTGTATTGATGGAAATAATGTTGCAAAAAATTAAATTGGAGGTCTATTCGAAACTAGTAGGTTCATAAGTTAGTGCAGTGATTCCCGAACTGTGCGGCGCAGCCTCTTTACATCAACGCCGTGAAGTATTGTAAAAGCTTCAATTTGAGAAAATGTGCAATGATTTGCGGGCTCATCCATCAAATTAATTATTAAATATTAATATAATGTTAATAATTTGTATCTCTTACTTATAGTAGGGTAGGGCGCCATGGAAAAAAATTAATTGAAAAAGAGCGCCACGACTAGGAAGAGTTTGGGAACCACTGGGTTAGTGAAAACAAGATAATCTAAAGGTAATGACGTTAATGACAGCTTGAATTATTTTGAACCGTCACTTTTCAAACATTAGGTAATAAATCTAATATAGATTAGCTTAATTGATTTTTTTGATGTTTAAAAGAAATAATTCTATTTGTGCTACCAAGCGATTCAAGATCTATTTTTTTTCCTCTAGATTTTATTTATCATGGTCGATTCTTTTTCCTGTATCTTTTTGAGAATTGATATTTTATCATGTAATTCACTCCTTAAATCACCTAAATTAGCCCCTAAGCCCAATTACTTACGACCAAACTGTTCTCTGTCAGCTGTTCTTGTTTGAGTTAAACTTATTCGATCATAAAAAGTTTTCATAGAAAGCCCTGATATATTCTTCTGTACAAAATTTAAACTCCGATCTCAACGACTTATAGTGATGGTGTAGCCTGCAGTTATTCCAATTTTGCACTCAGGCATATTTGAGCATTCAATCGTTTAGTTTTAGTTATTATTAGGTAACAGCATATCTAAGTATAACGTCCTTCACTTTTATTCGCTTATTTATCGCTTGATTGTCTATCAGCTCAACTACCTAAATAAAAAAGCATTCTTAGACTATTACCACTATACATTTAATATGCTTTCAGCCACTTACTTCCTTTTCATTCACCATCCTTTCTATTCCAACTGTAGGAATCTCACCTTCGCCAGCTCCGTCGGCAGATCCTCTTGCATGCTTCCGCTCTGGCCCGCCTAGATGTAGTTGGCTCTGAGTCCACCTTCTCGAGTCAGGCGGCAGGCCATCTGGCGTCTGTCCTCGCTCTTTCTTCCTCTGATTCTCCTCTTCTCTCCGATGCCTCTCTTGTTCCAACGGGTCTTTCAATGGTCTCCTCAGCTCATACAGTCGCTGCAAACAGCACTTTTCACCCTAATCTGATCTCATCCATTCCCTCAATCAATGTCCCTGCGTCATCAATGAGCAATCAAGGAAGTTCTGCCCTTCCCACTCCTCTTGCATCCAGTGCCACTGACTTTGCCAAGTCACGATACATTCGAACCCCACTTCGTAAGAGGATGAATGGGCCCTTCAGTGGACGAATTCCCGCAGTTGGAAGACGAACAACATTATCATCCGTGCACCAGCAGGGTCGTTCGTCAAGAGGCCGGGTTGCAGAAGTACGTCCACGGCCACCATCCAAAACCATTGGGATACCGACTGCTGGATTGCAGTCTTTGCCTGGGCCAAGTGGTCCTGTTACCCCGTAAGTGGTACATTCTCGTCTGCCTCATCGTCAACCTCCTTTATTTATAGAAGTGGGTTGACCTTGTTGTCGCAACTTGGTCTTGTTGTCAGGGGGACTTACATAACCTCAGCATTTCCTCAAAAATTTCTATCTCGCGTGAAGTTAATGTTGTAAATATTGTCACTACGCTATTCATTTATTATTTTTACTATTGGTATATCAGTACTCTTGCAATTATCTTCAAAGTGGCAAAATTCACAGTGCACTGGACATCATCTCGATTATACAAATATACAAGCATTTTTATGGAATGTAGCTATTAGGAACTCGAGCATAAAAGATGCACCACTGCATATAACCACGCGATTCTCACCACAGTTCTTTTTTCCTCCTATTTAGGCCAATGCATCTTTATGCGTAAGTGTTCCTGTATACTTACTCATCCTTGCCAGCAAACAGGTAGCTTACTAGCCTGTCGATTTAATAGTAAGTATATAATTTTACAGTCCTGTCATCAAAATTCTTCACTGACACTTGCCTTTAGTCTGGCCATTGCCCAATTTTTACCGACCGGGTTGATCAGATATTCAATTTTCCTCGAAGTCAAGCTTGTCAGTAAAATACAAATGGCTGATTCAGCTGCCTGGCTTACTTTATTTAAATAAACTAATTATCTGACAGAATATGTAGGCAATTTATTGAAGTATGTCACTTCTTTAGTAGAGCTATAAGTGCTCGCCAATGATCTGCTCTGGCTTACCCATCCTTTCTATTATCCCCACGCATCTGCTTGCATTAAATTATGTTTGTGCATGTAAATTATAATAGTCCTTACATCTTCTGTCTGGTAATCATTTATTTTAATCTTTCCCCTCGTCTCTCCTCATATATACATACTTACACACACATATATATATATATGCTTGTTTTTTATTTAACACTGGATCCTCGGAGCTCCTTCTAATTAAATTTGAACTGTTCTTTTGATCTAGATTCCCTTAATCGAATTTTTAACCTGTCATTTTGACACATGGTGTATTCGACATCTAACATTTTAACAAGGCAGGACTTTTCTCTCTACATTTATTGTTAGAATATATTGGAAATTTAAATTGATATTTTCCTCTAAATTGATGAAGTTAGTAAATTATGCTTTATTAACTGGAGCAGAATGGAATTTTGACCCTTCCAGGATCTCTTAGTCATTTTTAATGAGACCTCACGCTGGACGCTCTAAATATCACATATTTATCCATTTGGAATCAAAATTATCTTCTCATTTTAATGGCTCACTTGCCCTTCATCTGGGCCTTATCACTTTATCTTTGCCTAAACGTGCTCCATGTCTAAGACCTAAATTATGGACTAATTTCATGTAAAAATTTGCTCCTCATACTACACAAATAGCCCTAAGATGTTAGTGGGAGAAAATTTCATGATCTAGACTCAATCGGCTCACTGCATGAGGAAATGACCAAACAGGTCGGTATTGTCGAAAGTATGAAGACCGGTATGGTGTGGTCTTTTGCATGGTCGGGGTCTCCTTTCGTTTTATATAAGTTGTTCGACCTTGGTTTCGCAACTTGGTCATATTAGCAGGAAGACCTAGAGGAACGCACCTTCTCCAGAGTCCATAGTATGCATGATCATTTTCAAAGTCGGATGAGCTGTAGTTTCGTTATTGAGACTGGCAAGACTCACTGATGAT